GCGACAAGTAGCGTTCTATGACAGGGTTTCCCTTTGTTAAGGCCCTTAGTTACTTCGTGGTTGATAAAGTTTAAGGCCGCTACTGGCGACCGTGCCGTTTCGAAGCCAAAGCCATGCTGACGGATAGACAGCTCAATACACTGGTTACGTTTGGGTAAGAGTAGTCTTTCTACTAGTTTAGCCACGGGAAACAAGTGCTATGGGCCTATAATCTTTGCATGTTGCAGGATCTTTGTAAGTGGGATAATTCGACAGGTCTTCAAGTTATGTGGTTTTACTGCGTTGTTAAGTGATATGTTAACAACGTTGGTACCAATCAAGGTAGTGAATGTGAATCGATGCAATCTTATCAGGACCCAGGGCATTATTCCTTTAAATTTCTTTAATTGCAGTTTGTACTTCTTCAGCCTTCAAGTTCGTGGCTTTAAAGGGTAGTTTTTCTATTTAACGCATAATGATTTTTTTTTGTCAATTTTATTTGGGTAGTGATGTACAGTTCGTCGAAGCGCTTGGCGCACACTTTGGCCATCTTTAAAAATAATTGGGTTGTTTGATGTCTGGTTGACTTTGTGCGGAAATGGGTTTAATGTTCGACTATAAGTTACTTGATTGTACTCTGTGGTCAGTTTTGTGGGAATGAAATCCGTTTTGAGCGCTTTTTGTCTTGTTTAGCTCAACCCAATGACCAGAAAAAGAACGATGAAAGTTCAAAAAGGTGAGACGCCAGCGTGCTTAGTATAAACCGAGTGCTCATAAACAATTCAAACAACGCTAAATTTTGAACTGTTTCAATATAAAAAAAGCAGAAGAAATTTTGCTTTTTCGAAGCATTTTGCTTTTTCATCCTAATTACTTTCGAATTATCTTATTGCAGATCGAAATGCGTCTGAAAGTGCTTTTTTTGATTTACTTTTAAACACGTTGTTACCTGATATGTTTCGATCAGCATCTGTGGTGCTTGATAGGGACCCGCAAAAATTTATTGGAATTTCAATGACCAACGAATTGCTAATTTGGTAAATTATTGATTTCATTTGTAAATTTTTTGCACATCGTTTTGATAAGGTTTTCGCTATTGTTTTTGTTGTTGTTGTTGTGGTTGTAGCCTCGTTGACTCCTGGCGACAATGGGTTTGTTTTGGTAGTTTCGTCTGTTTGAAGTGCAGTGTATTTCGCTCCAACAAGATACGGAGGGCATGCGACTAACGTGGTTTATTTGAACTTCGTTTCAACACTAGACTGGTCTGAATTGTTCAAGGTGAGGAAATCATCCTTCGTCATGCTAATTAGTTCTTTTAAAGAAGTTCGTTTGAAAAGGTTGTCGACCAGTTTTTCAGCTCGGCGAGGTTGCGGCGTATGATATGTGCAGTTTTGTCAATGCGCGAGTATTGCAGTAATTGTACCTCAACTTCAACAAGTATCTAGCAGATCAAATTGTCATTGATACGGCTCAACTTGAATCATGTGTATAAGTTCAAGAATGTTGATAAACGATTTCTTTTCAATGTTTATCGATTAATTGCCAATTTTGCAATAATTCATAGGATGTGCTACCAATTATCATTTGATTGATTTCAGGATTTTTGAGCCTTTAACTTAAGCGCTTTTGTTTTAAGCGTTATCAAATCGGAATCTAGACTTCGAGTTAACAACTAGAGGTTATTAAAATTGTTGAATCAGTTGGCATGTAGTATTTTGTTTCGACTTGATTCTTCGGCTGATTATATAACTGTTTATTTGCGTCATAGTTCGTCGTTTGACAGGCCAAAATATTTGTTATTTCTTTTGTGACCTTAAAGGGGAGTTCGAAAGCGGGAGCTTAAGGTTTTTTATAGCTCAAAATGTTTTAAAGCAATTTTGTCCACCCAAAATTTGTCTGCTCAGTTTGATGAATGTTCTTTTTCAATACTTATTTTACACTGACAATTGTGTTTTTCAATATTTTTCTTCACTATCAACTACCTTCGAGGCAAATTTAAAAATAGATATTTTTACTCTTGCGATTGGCCAGCGTTACCATACCGGAATACAGGCATTTTTTCGAGTAGACAACTTGATTAACGGAATCACTTGTATCTTGGTTCATAATAAATTCAAACTTCTAAGCGTTTCCGGCCAACTAACCTGGAGGTAAAGACGATGCCTAGGAGTTGTCATGTCTTGGAATCGTCGTTCCTGCTGAGCTCATTTCCCTGTAAAATTGCTTTAAGTGTTTGATTTACTCTTAAAATTTGTCATTTAACTTACTTTTACTTCGTATTTCCTTCTTTGTTTTTTTTGTTTCGCTAAAAAAGTTCCTTGGACCAAATTATTTCAGCTTATCTATCGGCTTGATGACCTACTAATTTTGGGTCGTTTCAAGGGAAACACAATTTTAACACCCCTCCTGCAGAAGCAGTCAATTTTGTAGCAAATTTTGTTTTGCAACAGAATGGAAAACTCATTCAATATCAAACTCCTACCTCCGTCTTTAGCTGGGCTCATAGTTGTTTTTTTATCGAGACATACGAATCTAGTTTTAACATCAATTTTTTTCGATTTAAATATTTTTTGACTCGTTATTTTTCATGTTTGTGCTGTATCGCAAGTGGTGTAAAGCTCTGCTTCGCCTCTGTGTTTCAATTTCAATTTTTTTCGATTGGGACGCTTTTGTCCTATTTTTTTTCTTCGGGTAGCTTCCGTTCCATTTTTTTTTGACGTATCGCAAGGGGTATCATCTAGCAGCATTGTTTTCTACTGCTTGTTTTTTCCCAAGATTACACGCTTGCAGCAATCGCGAATCTTTCCATTATTTTTTAATGTGTCCGGATGCGATATTTTCCTCATTTCTTATCTTCAAGTATATTTTTATCCGACTTATTAACTTTTTTAGGATGCTAACACTTGCGAAGGCGTTTTTACCAGCAAAATCAGATACCACGAATAGTCATCGGACTTGGTCGATTGATATATCATATTAAAGCCTTTGCAAAATTGTCTCAATGTCGAGAAGAACTGGTTTGATTTTTTTTGATATTTAATCAAGTTTCGAGGAAGTAACGCGATCGAGTAGCGCTCGTTATATGGATTTTTTTTTTAATTTTAGAAAAAAAAACACTTGGCTTAACTATAAAAAAACTAGCTTTGGCAAAAAAAAAGGTTTTCTAAATTCTAATTTTTTGTGCCAAAAATCGGAAAGAGTTAGAACTTTTATTAATTTTTCTTTTCATTTTAATATTCGTTTTTTGAAGACGAATATTGTCGATCTTGCACGAAATCACTAATTTTTTACGCAATCGTATAGTTCTCGATTCACACGACCTACTAAAATTGACATTAATTTAAAAAATATATAGTTTTTTTAATGATTATGGTCGGAACATTCTGTGCTACTTGCACAGCAAATGGCTATCCTTGTTTTCCGATAAGCATTGCTATAGCAAATTTGGTAGAATTAGTCATTTTTGTGCGGGTGATTTTATAGACGTATTTGAACATGTATACGTTTTATTTCTTCGTTACTTTTACACTTGCGGCAGCAAGTGTCTCGTAAGCGGGGACTTTTTTTCTCATTAACAACTTTTCTCACAATTTTTAGTTTTGATTTAGTATTGAACCTACTCAACTTCAGGTTCAATTCCACTTGGTGACGCCGTCGCTTTTGCCCCTTAGGTCTGGAGTTAGAGTCCCATTCGGATCTTGTTTTTTCAGTATGTATGCAATTGAATTTTTTTTCCGGTAAATGTATTCACTTTATTAAAGCGCTTTCAATGCTACCTGGATTTGATGTAAACAATAAGTTTGATTTCATACAATAAGTAAGATTTCAATATTTTTTGAAAAATGTCTTCGACTAAGCGGCTTTGTCTAAGTTTTCTGTGGGGCAGCTTGTCAAGATTTGTTAATGTTGTATTGCAAACAATGGGAGGCTCTGTGTGCCAGTTGTAACTATATTGATCTTGTTTTGGAGAGTTTTAAGACTTGATAGTTATCAGATTTTCAGTTGTTGGGCAGCTTCAAATCCCGATCTTGTCTGCGCGCTTAAAAGTCCGTTGAACTGGACCAATAGCTTTGTCTAATACAAAAATGCATGGATTAAAAAATGTTTCGCTCAAGTTAAAATGAAATGTAAGCAAAAGAATTCTTCGTTGATTTTTTTTTCGATTTTTACACCCATGCGATTAGCAAGGCTATTGTAACTGGGTCGTAGACTTTCCCCATCAAAAACTTTGGTCGTAGAATTTGCACAATAGAGTTTCGTCTGGTTCATTCTGTTTCATAATAAGTTAAAATCTAATGACTGATTTTCTTGGAACAGAGGTAACATAGCTGCTTGGGACGACGGTGGCCTCTGATTTGAGTCTGAGGAGAGGGGAAGGTGCTTCGATAATTTTCTAAAAGTTTTTGAATCATCGTGCGTCTGCCTTTTTGTCGGCTTGATTATCGCTGCTTGCATTGATTTTTTTTTGAAAATTTTTGATATTTTTTCGCATAAGAATGACATGTAGTTGAGTTTGATTTTTTTTTGTAATTTCCATTTTGTGCTATTTATTTTCTTGAGCATTAACTTGCATAAATTAGTGCTCAACGATTTAATAGCATGTCAATAGTTTAATAGCAGGTGTTTTATCCTTTTTATCAGTGACTAGTGTGGTACTCCTGCATAGTTGTGTGAAGGTATTAGATTCTGGAGAATCGGTTATTCGAACCCCATAGAGGCTAAACTTTTTAAAAATGCTGTTTCCTCATTTTTTTTTGTTTTTTTCTGGCATTGTAAAGCGCTCGCTTGCAAGTTTTAGCTTGTTTTTGCGAAGTTCAGCTTGGCTTGTGTTAAAAATTAAAAGATTACGACATAAAAATAGTGCCTAAAATGGGGAAAAATGGATTTAGCTATGAATTAATTTCTGTAAAGTTAGTTTGACTGATAACTATGAGTTCCTTGTATGAATAATAATTGTTCATCCATATAGCTGAGCTAATCCCTCAAAGCATAGGAAATAATTGCGATTCTTTCAGATTTCGATGTCTTTTGAAAGACCAGATGGACTGACTAGAAGGAGTCGAGGAGCTGCAGCAGGCGGAGGCTTCGCCGACTTGCACGCCACGCGAGACCCGGACCGGCTGGATGACGACGAGAAGGTAGGTGGTAGAGATGATTACGACCCTCACTCAACTGCAGACTTGGAGGACGAGGAGGAGTTGGGGGACAAACATACCAGATTGAATCTTATGGAACAGGTGCTACTCATGGGCATCAAAGACAGAGAGGTTAGTTGTCATCTGGCCAGATATGAATTTTTATGTTAACACCATTTGTGTAGGAAGAAAGGTCCAATCTACGAGCTTCTCAGCTCTTTGCAAAGAACGGCTGTTGTGCCCTTTGCCAGTATCTATTTGAGGACTTAGCCGAAAGGTCAGTGGTTCGAGTTATACTATTATCCGTGCTTGTTGTTTCCCCAGAGCGCAACAGCGGCTCTCCTGAAGGAGCTGAGCAGTTCGTATGTTGCTCCTTTCCATGGGGATAAATCGTCTGATCTTAGCTTTATGGTAATTTTCCTTTTTTGATATTCTCTTATAAATTTCGCGATTAGGTTGTTCAGTAGAATAATAAAAATAGCTCACAAGTTTGAAATAAGTGAGATAGTTACCTTATTTCAAATTGAAAATATAGCCCCCAAGCTTAAAATTTAGAAGATAGCACAGGGTCGATGTCACAGGGCGATAATGGTTTTATAAATTGCCAGATGTTGCTCTATAACTTAATTGATGATAATTGTATTCTGCGACATATCAAAGCTTTCTAGATGTGAAAACTTTAATCGGTCGATAGCCTGTCGACTGATTGAAGACTGAATAGTTGAATAACCAAAAACCCAAGATACGAGACGGATGGCCACTGTTGTAGACTTCGGTCTAATTAAAAACGACAATGTTCATACGATATGTATTTTCCATGCTTAGGGTTACACCTCTTTCTGGAACGACTGCATATCATCAGGACTGCGTGGATGTCTGCTGGTGGAGCTGGCTCTCAGAGGCAGGATTGACCTGGAGCCAGCCACTATGCGACGGAGGGAACTGTCTCTTCGAAAGGTGGTCTGCAAATCAGACACACCCACAGGAGATGCTATTCTGGACGAGGCCCTGAGACACATCAAAGAGGCCGAACCCACTATGACCGTCTCATCCTGGATAGAACTCCTCAGTGGTAAATACGATGCACATTATTTGACTCTTTTTACACAAGCAAGCGTAGCGTTACAAGATCAGTCCAAGTAGTGTTATAAGATCCGACCAAGTGGTTAAAGAAAACTTCTTTTGTGCGGGGAGATCTGATTTTGATTTTTGGTATTGCAAAGTTTATTCGTACTTTCGTCCCTCTTTCTTTTTTGCCGTTTTTTTATTTATGATTGCGAAATGTTGCTTTGACTCTGCCTCAACTCCTTCCCCTTTACATAGCAAAATTTATGTTTCAATATTTTTAGAAATGCTATTTTGAATAATTACCCATCATTATTGGACCAGCTTTTGTTTTTCCCGCTTATGGATGAAGTGTTTTTTTTTGGGCTTAATATAGATACTTTCGGTAGTTATTACTTGCTCAAATGCTGCTAGAACTCTTACTACATTACACTTGCAATTAGATTATAAGTTTTTTTCCAGGTAAACAACCGGTCTAAAAAAGTCAATGAATCAGTTTCTTAAATCTTTCGTAAACCGGTAGATATGCTGTGAGCTGTACCATCTATTTGAGATATATGGGTTGCAGGCGCGGATCTAAGATTTTCTCGAGGGGGGGCGAATTTTCAAAAAAAAAATGAAATTTTTGTCGACCTTTTTCTTTTATGTCGACCAAATTGATTTTCTGAGGCCTCCCAAATCACTATAAAGACCCTATATTGACTAAATTTTTTGCGCCGCAGGAAATTTTTTTAAAGCCGGCCAAAAAAGGCCTTTTTATGCACTATTTGGAAAATTTCGACAATAATAAAAACGCGTTGTTTCGGCGCGCGCTCCCTCAAAATTTGTATATACTGGTGCCTTTAGAAAAATTTTAAGGTCTGTCAGCCATAAATGGATATCTCAAAATATTGAGAACAAGAACCCTTTGGGCCGCAGGGGGTCGAATCCCTGAGGAAAAAAGATCAGAACCCCCCCCCCCCCAACCTAAATTCGCTACTGATAGGTTGTAAATGTACCATCTCCGATTTTGTCTTCAGTTTTTCTTTTTTTTGTATCTATTCGACTTAAATTGTTTTGGGTTATAATATATAAGCAAAGTTTGGCCGCATATTGCGTCATTTGATGAGCAGAAAAAGAAACGTTTTTTTTTTTCATGCGTGTGTGTGTTTTGAGGGTGTTTTTTTTCAAGTTTTTTTTGCTCAACGGGTGTTTGCTCAAGTTTTGTCAGCTTTGTTGCGGCATCGTAAGTTTGCTTTGGTGCTCATTTAACATTCAGTTGTGTCACTCTCCTGCTTTTCTCAAACTGAGTTTTATTTGAGACTAATCGAGTTAAGCATCTGAAAGTTTTGATAGATCCAGTTTTTTGGTCATTTATAAAATCTTCGACTGCGCGGCTTCTGTCTCCTTTTCTCGCGGATCGTTTGCAGTGCGTGCTATGTTTGTGCTGCATCGCAAAGTCGAAAACTGATGATCCTAGTTTTTCAACAAACATTATTATACTTCGAGAGCTAGTGTCTTGTTATCGGGAAGTAAACTATTTCCCGTGAACAATTTTTCTCAAAAGTTTGTTAGAAATTGAAATTGCTATATTAGTGAACATTTATAACTTCAGTCTCGTTAAAATTTGGTCTTGTGTTAATCCAGTTGACTCTGCATTTCAGTAAATATGAATCCGGTAAAGTTGGCATTGTCGGCCTATTGCTTGTCTGCCTGTTTTGTTGGCTAAGTTGACACATCACGTGGTTTTCTTGAGCTGTAAGCACTTTTCCTTGTATTTGCATGTATTGTTGAGTTTTTCTTATAACTTTTAGAACTTACTAGTCCTGGCATTGCACATTTTCCTTTTTTTAACTTGAATTTTTTTCGGCTTTCATGGTTTCGCATGAAGGGTCAAAACTAGTTGATTTCAAAACGGTCGTGTGCTCTTTTTTTGCCGGCTTAGTGGCCGCTCGATAAATATAAAAGTGCATTTAATGCTGGTATTTATCTTGCTGTTAGTTTTTCTGAAATTGAATTTTTCCATAAAATTTTTTAACAATTGTTTCTGATTCAGTCCTCCTTTGTTTGGAATAATTTGGCCCCATTTTCATTATAGAATTTGGCTACGAGAAATCCCCCCCCCCATTTTCATTATAGAAATAGTTTTTGAGTGTTTATGAACGTAATGACTCTTATAAAGGTTGTGATAGCTTTTTTTTTTTTTGTTAAAAGTCTTAAAAGTTGTTTACGCTCAATTTGAATAAAAAAGTGTTAAATAGTAAAGTGTTCTGCAAAATCAAGGATCTTTATAGCCAAATATTTTTTGTACTTTTTTTTCTTGCGTACAGTGACTCTTTTCCGACTGTCTACTGGCTATGTTTTCAACTTGGTTGTGAGTTGCTTACAAGAGCCCTTTGTAATTTAGAGCTTTTTTTGCTTGTGTTTGCGAAATGCCGCTTCTCGCAATAAAACTTTTTATTTTTTCTGAGCAGCATCAGTTTTTTTTTAAACGGTCAATGTTCCGGTTCAAAAAATTTTCAGCCTATTATTTGTCTGGTTATGTTTTGTCGGTTTAGTTGCCACAAATAAGAATCGTTGTTTTTAGCTGTAAAATTTTTTTACCGTAATTAATTTTGAAAAATCTGGCCGAATCGAAATTTGCTTTTCAGTTTGTTGTTATTTTATCAGCTCGATTTGTTAAAAGTTTCACTTAACTTTTTCATCATTTCGTTTTTTTTATCGGCTTAATTAATATCGTCTTAGTGGCCTCTTATTGTGTCATTACGTCCGAAACAAGTTTTTGTGTGCGTGCGTGTGCTCTAAGGGGAAAAGGAACTTAACAGTTTTTGTAAGTTAGAGTTTTTTTGAATTTCTTTTCGGTATGAAGGGTTTCTGCTCAGGTTTTTTGGCTTTGTTACCGCTTGGTTACTTTGAATTCAAATCCAATCAACCATCTGGCGTAGAGGTAAAACAATTGCTTGAGACGGCAAAGATTTGCGTTTCGAATCCGGCCGGGCCATTTTTTGCTTTTTCGGACTATCGTCCGTCTGTTTATTTTTGTCGGCTTATTTCCCGTAGTTCAATGCTTCCGCTTTATACCAAGTTGCTGCAACCCCCATGTTTAAGACGACAATGCCCGGGAGTTCAATTCAGTTGGGACTTACTTTTTCTCGCAAATAAAAACTTTTGGTCAATTGTCTGCTTATTTCCGGAGAAAGGACTTTTTATTGAAAACTTGGCTTCTGTATAGCAATCCCAAAGCGCGTTGTAGAGTTTTATATGGTGTATGCAATTTTGTTCAGGATATTTTGGGCGTGTGTTGCAATTTCTATTGACAAAAACGATTTTTTCCGTTTGATTTTCTTAGTCATATTTGTAGCGCAAGTGGTGCGAAGCTCAGCTTCGCCTCTGTGTAGAATTTTAAGTCACGCGGATTATTTTGATGGCTTCGCCTTCATGTGCCTGTATGTGTGTATTTTGGAACGCATTTATGTCGAATCTTTTTGACCATGAACCAGGGCCAAAAAAAATTCGCAAAAGAATCCGAATTAATTCTTTTTTCGTGCAAAAGTAACTGTGATGGGACATTTTTATGTTTCTTGATTAACATTCGGCCGTTTTTGTTTTCGGGTATTGATGGGTTTTTTCAGGTGTTTTAATAAGAGAAAAATATATTTACGCTAGTGAGTTAGTGAGCGTAGTGTATTAGTATGACTTTTATTTTTTTCAATCTAACTCGCAACTAAAAGTGCTCAGTTTGTGGCACTTTTGCCATAATTACGATCTGTTGAATTGGAAATTTCATAACATCTGTTCTCTTTGTTTGTGGCTAGTGTTTGCCGGTCATTAAGCGTCTATGGTTGAGAGGGAAGGACTTGAGATTCCAAATCTTGAGGTCGCAGGTTTTAATCTGACACATAGCAAACGTTTTACAAATTCTAAGCTTTTTTCAGCTTTTTCTTTTTTAGAGCACTGCTTTGTCGTTCTCTTGCTAGTGTTAGCAATGTGCAGCTTCGCTTCTGTGTCAAGTTTAAGAAGCATCTTCAACGTCATAGTTGACCAAATTACTGCTTTTAACGTGTAATCATTATTGGAAATAGTATCTACCTGTAAGAAGCAATGCAGGCGCTTTTTAAAGAAATTTTGGGTTGGTCGACCATTCCTAAATTATTTAAAAGCACCTTAATTTTTGGCGAAATAAGGTCTTTACAAGGTTGGGTTAGAGCTCGGACATTAAATTTAATCAACTTAAATAAATATTAGACAGAATTTTTAAAAATCTTACTCTTGAGAAAGTTCATGAAAACGAAAAAATGGATGTTTTGCATGGATTATTTTTTGTATTGTAATCCAGTGAAAGTTTTGTTCACTTTTGTATTTGTGTTTTAGGAGAAACATGGAATCCTTTGAATCTGAAGTTCCAGGTTCGAAACACGAGAGAGCGCCTAGCAAAGAATCTGGTGGAGAAGGGCGTGCTGACTACTGAGAAGCAGAACTTCGTCCTATTCGACATGACCACCCACCCCGTGTCCAACCCCTCTTCCAAGCAGAATCTCATTAAAAAAGTGCAAGAGTCAGTGCTGAACAAGTGGGTCAACGACCCCCACCGAATGGACAAACGAATGCTCTCCCTACTGCTCCTGGCGAACGCTTCCGATGTGCTGGAAAACGCATTTGCCCCCCTCCCAGATAAAGACTACGAGTTGGTTCTGAGACGTGTCAACTCGCTCCTCTCGCTCGAGTATGAAACGGAGTGCCTTAAGGAGGGGTCAAATGCTGTCATGTGGGCTGTGTTCAACTTCTTCAAGTAGACGACTACACAATTCAGTCCGTCTTCTTCATTCAGTCCAATCCCGCAACAGTCGCCGCCTCATCACATACCATATAAAACATACATGCGCCTCCTCCTCTTGTCGCCATTTCTAGGAGGCGATTAAATCCTGGAAGTAACGCTCGTAAAAACTGCTTTTTATTATTGTTAGTCAAACTGTATTTCCCTGTCTCAAAATGTTACCTCTTCGGCAATGGATCTTTCCTCATAAAAAAAAGCTATCAATTTGCAAAAAAAAGAACTTTTTTTGCTGAAAAGGTAGCAATAATTTCACACTAGTTAGTGAGCATAAAAGTGTACGGGTTGAGTTTGAAGTAAGTTGTTGTTAGCACATGGTGGTTTGTATTTAGTGTAGCTCTCCTCCCAGTAAATCTGCAGTGAACTCTGATGACGGCTTTGTTTATGTAAGATGCCCAAAAGTGTTGCCCAAATCTTCATTGAAGTCATAAATTAAGTTGCCGACCACTTTATCATTTTTGGCAGGTATTAGTGTTGTCCACTGAAAGGAAATGCACAAAAACGTTGTTTGTTGAAGTAATTTGGCTAGAATGGGTAACCTCCAGAAAAACTAGAAAAATAAGGATCCCATTTTAAAATAACAAATTCGCTGTGACCTGATCTAAATGTACATCCTCAAGTTCCTTTCAACGATTAATTAAGTGTAAAAAAGTTATGGAAAGTTAAGTTGGACAGCTCTGACAGGTACAAATCCGTTTTGTTCGGGCGCTCTCAATTCACTACGTATGGTGAAGGGTCGGGTCAATTCGACCAGCGAAATCAGCAATCTTTTCACAGTTTTAGATAAATGTAAATATAATGTACATTTCGATAACAATAACAATATGATATTATAAATTACGTTATTTAGGGATTAATTGTAATTTGTTTAATCGAATCTCTACACTATTAAGGAAAATTTCTCAGAAGCCTAGTGTATTTGAAAATTCTTTTGTTTGCTGTAGAAATTCGGTATGTTATTCCAATCTGGATAATAAACGTTACGAATACCATTTTTTGGAAACCGTTAAAAAGTTTTCGAAGTCATTTTAAAAATTTCGCTTAACTGATTATGCTTTTAAAGTTGATCAGGCGCAGAAGTCATTCCAAATTCTCTTCAGGCAAGCTCATTTGTCTTAATGCTTTACTGAGAGAAAAACATATAATTGATATTTTTGCGATTCGCAGAGGATCTGTGAACGGCTATCAGGAATGTCTTAGGATAATTCGTTTCAGGGGCGAATTTAGGAGGTGGGGGACTCCTTCTCGTGGTGGACCCACGCGCGACCAGTCGCCGCAAATGGCACCAAAACCCCCTCCCATCTTTGGGAGCGCAGAAAGCATGCTCAGACCGTGTTTTTGGTGGCGGAGCGTCCAAAGTAGGCTGGGCTGCTCCGTCTATTAATACTTAGTGTCAATGAACGTAATGAAGATACTCACATAGATCACTTTAATTTTTTATCAGAAAAAAGTCAACGATTTTCACTCTGAAATTTGTTTTTCAGCCGTTTGATTTTGCTTTTTAAGTTTAATTCAATTCGTTTGCTCAAAAGAAAGAAGTGTACGCTCTTGATTAAAAGTAGTTTAAATGGCACAAAAACGAAATTGGATTTTTATTAGGCTTGCGATTAGCAAGCGTTATCAAACCGGAATATAGTTTTTTTTTCGGGTTAACAACTTGTTTTACAGAATCACTTGGTACCATGGTTCATAATGAATTCAAAGTTCTATTCGTGTCCGGCACTTAGTCTGGAGGTGAAGAATACGTGGGTTCGAATCTGACCAGGAACTGTTTTTTTTTTTCAAATTTGAACTATTCCTTTTCAAAAAAAAATGTCGGCCTATAACTTGCCTGCTTATGTTGTCAGCTTAATTGATTTTTTGTACGCTATTTTCACTGTAGTTGTTTTCAGTGTTTTGAATTACTCCTGCAGTCTTTAATTTTTACCAGCCTTGACTTCGTATATTTTGCTGTTTTTGTTTTCGCTGAAAAACTGTATTCGGCTTTAATGATTTCGGCTTATTTTTTATCCGCTTAGTGACCTAATTTGGATTTTCTATGATTCATTCTGGATTGCACAAAATGCAAAAAGATTTGAATGAGCGAAAATTCTCAATATATCGATGCCCTTTAACTGCTTTATACCGACTGATTTTACGCTTATTTGTTCGAATTTGAGTAATGAATTCTTATTGTCTGGCAACATTTTGGCGCACAAGGGATTCCCCTTTTTTCGATTTCCTTGAGTCGGTTGACACTTTTCCAACTGTCTGTTGGCTATTTTGTATCTTTTGAGATTGTAGCATGGCAGAAGAAGACTCTCAAGATAATAAAAAGCACCGAAAATCAAAAAAGAGAAAGCGGAAGGATGATCCAGTTGCGAGTGCGAAGAAGAACAAGCCAGGCGGCAAGCTGGAACCAGACGTGAAACGAAACCCGAAAGGGTTCACAGTCAACAGTGCTCAGAACATGCGAAAACAGTTTGTGCGTAAGCAAGATATTCGCACGAAAAAGCACCATGTTCCTGTACTGGATCGGGCGGCGTTGTCACTCGAACCTCCCCCCATAACGGTTGCAGTTGTTGGTGCCCCCAAGGTAGGCAAAAGCACACTCATCAAATGTCTGCTGAAAAACTTCACCAATCTAAAACTGACGGCCGTTAAGGGACCAGTTACAGTAGTTGCCAATAAAAAGAGCAGGCTGACTTTTATAGAATGCAATAATGACATCTGCAGTATGATTGACATAGCGAAGGTTGCAGACTTGGTTTTGTTGATGATAGATGCTTCATTTGGCTTCGAAATGGAGACGTTTGAGTTTTTGTCTGTTTGTCAAGTACACGGAATGCCTAGAATGATTGGAGTGCTCACTCATCTGGATTGCATGAAAGACAACAAAGCCCAAAAACGACAGAAGAAATACCTAAAGCACAGATTTTGGGATGAGGTGTATCAAGGGGCTAAACTGTTTTACTTTTCGAAATTTGTCAATGGCGAATATCTGAAACGGGAAGTGCACAATTTGGCTCGATTTGTATCTGTTATGAAGTTCAAAGCAATTACATGGCGTAATAATCACCCTTACCTTTTAGCAGACAGGTTAGAAGATCTAACACCGGCTGAGAACATTCGGCTGAACCCGAAATGCGAAAGAAATATTTGTTTATACGGCTACGCAAGAGGTAGTCCTTTTCAGCCGTTTCAGGACGTGCATGTACCGGGCTGCGGAGACTTTAAACTATCCGATCTATCGTACCTTCCGGATCCGTGCCCGTTGCCGGAAGTTTTGAAGAAACGGGTTTTGAACCAGAAAGAACATCTCGTGTATTCTCCATTCTCAGGGGTTGGAGGTATCGTCTACGACAAAGATGCCGTGTATATTGAACTAGGGGGAAGCCACTCGCACCAAAAACAAGATTCAACTACTGACGAGGCGAATCAACTGGCTAATGATTCGAACTATCGTTTCAAAGATTTGATCGGGCAAAAATCATCGTTAGACGAAAAATTGAAAAACGCACAGATGTCTTTGTTTGAGTCATCGGAACCAATCAAGTCGGAGGCATTCGAAGCTTCGGAGAGTAATAACGAACCAAAGAGGAAGTCTGAGAGTGAAGGGGAATCTGAAAAGGAGGTGGATTCGGACGAGGAACAGAACGAGTCAGACGAAGGAGTTGAGCTCAAATGTTCTTCGGAAGATACAGATGGCGATGATTATGAAGATGACGATGAAGACAACGTCAAAACTCAAGATCAGAAGATGACAAAACCATCTTCAGAAAAGGATATGCGTGTGCGCCGAGCAATGCCATCTTCGGCGAGAAGATCTGGGAATGTTGACGAAAGTCGGGAAGAGTTAGGATACCCAGAAGCAGACGATTCTGGTGAAGAAAATCATAGTGAAGATGATGTCAACGATGAAGATGATGACGAGAAAGACGATGAGTATCAAGATATGACTAATTTTATGGACGATAAGTTTGCTGATGGAGAAAGTGAGTGTTCAGAGGAAAACTTGTCTGAAACAGAAGACAGTACTAGTGGCGGTCTAAACTGGAAACGGAATATGAAAGAAAAAGCAGCCATGCGATTCATGGATCGTCTGAACAAATCCAATTCTCTCAAAAATGTAATTTATGGTGGATCAGGTATTAGTGGAGTTGAACACAATGAAGCCGAGGAAAAAAGTGACGAAATTGCGAATCTTTTCACGATCAGAAAGGCGGTTGAAGATAAGACGGGATTGAATGGTGTAGATGCTACGCTGCCAGTAATAGAGACCAAAACGAATGCTGGAGTCCAAAAAAGAAAGAAGTTTCTATCTTGGCTGCACAAATCAAACAAGAGCAAAATTATGAGCTGCTTCGCGACTGGTGGAAATTTTGGCGAAGAAGATGCTGACAGGCTATTGCAAGAAGACGACGAGGCTTTCGGTGACTTCGAAGACCTTGAAGACGAGGATGAAGATAAAGATGAAGGCGACGACGAACAAACAGAAGATGTCGAAGACAACGTCATAAGCGGCGAGACTTTGAAAGAGGTTCGAAAAAGAAACTACGAGAAGAAAAAGAAACGAATGATGCAAGTTGTAGACGCTCAGGGCAAAGACAACGACACTTATTATGATGAACTTAAGACAGAAGTATCAGCTCAAGCGTTGTTGAATCAACAGGAGTTTGAAAGCTTAGATCCTAAATTGAGAATTCAGTTCGAAGGCTACAGGGCTGGAATGTATCTGAGAATTGAGCTCAGAGGAATCACTCCTGAGTTTGTTGATAACTTTGATCCCAATTACCCTCTTTTGGTGGGAGGACTGAGCCAGTCTGAAAACACTGTCGGCTACTTGAACCTGAGAATGAGAAAGCACAGATGGTTCCGGAAGATTCTCAAGTCCAAGGATCCGGTAGTTATGAGTATAGGTTGGCGAAGGTACCAGACTGTAAGCACGTATTCAATACAAGATCACAATATGCGAAATAGATTCCTGAAGTATACACCTGAGTTCATGCACTGCACTTCGACTGTGTTCGGACCAGTGGTTCCTCAAGGTACTGGATGTCTGTTTGTAGAAAATTTAGCCAGAGATACGCCCCATTTCAGAGTTACAGCTACAGGTGCTGTTATGGATCTGGACAAATCGACAAGTGTAGTGAAGAAACTGAAACTTGTCGGATACCCTGAAAAGGTGTTCAAAAACTCAGCGTTCATAAAAGGCATGTTCAACAGTGCTCTAGAAGTTAGCAGATTTGTCGGTGCCAATATCAGAACTGTCAGTGGAATCAAAGGTCAAGTAAAGAAAGCGCTCTCCAATCCACCGGGAGCATTCAGAGCCGCGTTTGAAGATAAAATTGCGCGAAGTGATATTGTGTTTTTACGCAGTTGGTACCCGATTGAAATTCCCCAATTTTACATGCCAGTTTTTAATTTACTGGATCGGGCAGTTAAACGCGAACAGTTTGATTATGGTATGAAAACAGTTGGGCAGTTGAGGTTCGAGCGAGGAATTTCGGCCCCTTCTAATCCCGATTCCCAGTATAGACATATCGAAAGAATGCCTGTGAAATACAAACCGCTTGCGGTCCCGAGTAAACTGCAGAAAAAATTGCCTTTTAGTGTCAAGCCAAAGTTTGTTCACCATAAAAAGAGCAAGAAAGTGGTGATCAGAGAACCACACGAACGGAAGTTGGCGGCTTTGATGCATGAAATAAGAGGTGTTCACGGAGAGAAAAGACGAAATCAGGAGGAGAAGAGAGAGGTTAAACTGTTGGAAAGGAAAAAGAAACTGGAGAAAATTGAACTGAAGAAATTTGAGAGAACGAAGGAGTTAAGAAAGAGACTGTACAAAACTATGGGCAGAGAAAGTTCAGATAAATGAGTTAAATTTTATTTGTTATTCATTTGAAATCCTGTTGTTTTCTTGAATTTAATTCATTATATCTTCAATTGTTCTTTAAGCTGGCGATCAAGGGCGGATCTAGAATCTTCTCGAGGCGGAGTGGGTGGTAGGCGGGTTTTAAAAAAAAAAACGATTTTTTTTTCTAGGGCAATTTTTTTTATTTTAAAAAGATTCTCGGTGTATACAAAAACTCTATTTAGAAGAATTTTCGACACTGTTGTTCTACGACTGCCTCCTTGCACGAATGATTCCCATTGCAGTTCGAAGTAGTGTATTTTTTGAGTTAAGGAGCAAAACTGATACAAAAATTGTTGATTCAATTATTTGTTTTGTGAGTTTTATTATGCCGAGCTTGGGGAACTGTTGTCTGTTTTTATCATTACGCTTGCGATTAGCAAGCGTTATCAAACGAATATAGACTTTTTTCTAGTTGGCAATTAGTTAAACAAAATCATTTGAATCACTTGCTGACTATGCAGCTGACTTCTTTTCACTTCTTTTGTTCTCTTACATCTTCCAGGTTGCATCCCCCTTCGCCTGGAGTAATTCAGTTGCCTTTGTACCCTAAGGTTTGGGGTTCGAGTCCCGGCCAGATCTTGTTTTTTCAGTATCAAGGAAACTGAAAACAAAAAATTCCGAGCAAATGAATTGTTGGTTTTTCGTTTGTTCGCTCAAGTTTTGTCGGCCAAATTGCCACAATGGATTTTGCTTGTGCTGTTGACAATTTTCATTGTAATTACAAGTGCAAGTATTGTTCATTCTAATTTCAGGGTGGGACTTGAAAGGTTATAAGAAATATTTCATATCTTTTTTTTGGTTCAGTTGCTGTCTGCTCAAATGTTGTCGGCTTAGTGCTGTCGACAAGCCGACAAATGTTGTCGGCTTAGTGCTGTAGTGTTGTCGGCTTAGTGCTGATATTTTTGTTGTAAGCAACTTTTATTGTAGTTACAAGTGCAAGTGCTGTTCATTCTAGTTTCAAGGGGGACTTTAAAGACTTCTAAAAAATCGAAAAAATCCTTTTTTTTTCAGTTCAAGTAGTTTTAGCTCAAATATTGTTGGATTGGTTGCCACACCACTGATTTTTCTTGCGCTGTTAACATCTTTCAATGTAGTATGTAGTTGCAAGTGCAAAATTTGTCCATTGTTGCTTAAACTTTTTTTTTACAAAATCTTCTTTTTTTTCGGCTCAACTTGTGTCTGCTCAAAGATTGTCGGCACTGTTTCTTTTCCTGAATTTTGTTCCATTATTGCTGATTTAAAATTCAAGTATGTGGCATGGTTGCCTGGAATGAACTTCTATCGAGACATAGGAAAGTTTCCATGACCTAGATTTTTTCAAAATTTTTTATTATTTAGGCTTTGTATGTTTTATTTTGTTGTTTTCTATCGCAAGTGGTGCGAAGCTCCGCTTCACTCCTGTGTGAACTATTAATTAGAATGTGTTATTTTGTTTTTTTATCTTGGGCAAATTTATTAATTTTTTTTAAAAAAAAGGTACTCGGTATGGATAAAAACAGTTTGTAAAAGAATTTTCGACACTGTTTTTCTACGACTGCCTCCTTCTTGCTTGAACGATTACCATCGCAAAGTCTCAAACAAATGCTTCGGTAATGAACAATACCGTCCTCTCGGTTTTGACCATAACTACAATTTTATAACCCAAATTGTTAACAAAGCGCTAATACACCTCTTAAATTGCATTCAGCTATTTTGGAAAGTGCCCACAATTTTGCCGCTGTTGTTGACATCGACACAGTTGAGCGTCCCCAAGAAAGTAAATACAAACCAAGGTTTCATCCTTCCGATCAAACTGTTTTGATTGTTATTTTCTGATAGCGGTTGAATGTGAACGAAAGAAAGACATTTCCAGATCAAAGTCTATTCTGAATGATTAACCGAACATAACTTTGTCAATAGCACTCTACAGGTTTTCTATCAATGAACAATAATAAATCAGTACGAATTTAAAATAAATTTAGTTTATTTAAAAAGTAAACAAAGTATTGTTTCCTTTCAAAGATTATAACCAATATGTGAGGCTAAGAAAACCCCCAAACCCTTAAAAATTGAACTAGTTCTGCATTGAGTTAATCAAATACGTGGACCAAATAACAAATATTCATTTTTGGCTTTGCCTCTCTTAATAATTAAAAAAAGTTCCCGTCCTATTTCTAAGTTGGCTGGTTAACTAAAAAAAGTTAATTAAGTGCATAATGGATATTGAAATTGAACATTTCTCTAATCAACCGATGGAAACTATTGTAAAATTACAGGGATTTGAAAGGAACAGTTTGTTTTCAGAAAACGTTTCATCCTCATCTAATGCAAGTAATTATTACGTTTTTTTCGTTTTATTGCCCAATTGAGTTTCGGGAAGCTGTCGCTGATTTACAAGATGGCGATCGGCCGTCAGGTGTCAATTCTCTGGGGGGTAGAGAGCAAAATTTCACCCTGGCCTTAGACCTTGGAATGAGAGATGAATGCTCGGATTCAATCAGATAAAAGTCGTCTTTGATGCTCGGAATATTCTGTTCGGTATGCAAGTCTGTCCGTGTCCTCTCAAGCTCCGTGCAGCTCATGTTAGATGCGAGGAAGTCTTTTGAGCCGAAGGATTCTAAACAAAACTTCATTTTATGCCCAATTTTTCTTCCAGATGCGGCAAAAAAGAGTAAAGGATTTGGCAAACGAATCAAGTAATGCATTTTTACAGAGTTTCGGAAGATTGGAAAATATTGTTAATTACAATTAAAAATTAATTTACAATATTTTTTAAAAATTAATTACAAAATACCGTAAGCAAACAAGATTCTTCCTATATGAGAGTCAAACCAAAACTATATAATTCAATGCGTCCAATATACAACAGTGTGCTATAACAGAACAATGACAATTAGGTACTTTTCAAACCCAGAGAGTTTAACTAAAAAGGATTGCAGCTGAAAAATCTTTTTATATTTGACTTAAAGGGGACGTTAAACAGATCCGAAGTAAAAAGAGACCAAACTGAAATGACTTCAACAGTGCCGAAAACTAGTGATATTTGAATTCTTTTTGTGAACATTTAGCAGTTTTGCGTGAATACTGTTTTGGTTTGAAAATTGCGGTAAGTTTGACAATTCCGACCGAATGCGCGAAAACTATGTCAACAAATCAGAGTTCCTCATTCGAAAAAAAATCGAAGGAAATAGCGATGTGATCAGTCCGTTTCGAACAGCTAAAAATGTTGATTGGTTGAAAATTTTCGCGCTTTTGGACCTTCGGGCATGAAAATGGCCCATATAAATATAAACTCAGCGAAGCTATGACGCCGCACATGGTAATCTATTGTTTGTTTAAAATGCGGCATCAATTAAACTAGATAATTTGGTGTTTTCGTTGACCGCTAAATTTGAGTTTAACTATTTGGCACTAATTTGGGCTAGCGGAAACAGTTTTATAAAGTATTTTTTGGCACTGTTGGAGAACATTCGGTTTTCGGCACTGTTGTACGTCGGCATTGTTGCTCTGCCTTGGTCTACAGAGTCAAAATCTTCATTGATTTATAATAAGGAGTAATGAACTTAGTGAAGACTCTTATATAGGTCTTGCTGATTTTTTTGTTTTTTTTTCAGAAAAAAGTCTTAAATGTTAATGCACTTAGGTATAATGCACTTTTTGAGTTCTATTGAGTTTCATCGGCGGAAAGTGAACTAAATAGCATTCTGCAAATACGAACGTGCAAATGGCGCAAAAAAAACGTGAACGATTTCTAGTTTCGAAAGTAGAATTTAATTTTTAAATTTCCAGCGGAATAAAAACTTCACCTGTTCATCCAGTTTCTTGAAGTGGGGTTAACTTTATCAAAAAAGCGCCAGTCATTAATTGTTCTAGAAATTCAAAAAGCTTAAGGGGCATCTATTTTTTCTTTAAAATTCGAAAGTTGAGATTTTTCAAGACAATCAGTTTTTTATGTTTACTTGCGTTCATTACTCTTTTCCAATCTCCGGTTGGCTATGTTTTTTTGTTAAAACTTAATTTGATAATAAAAATTGGTCTGAACAAAAATGCGCCATTTGTTCAAGTTTTCTTAGGAAGTTGCTGATTTTGCTGCTCGTATTGACATCTCCTTGTCTTCATTTTTATAGAAGGTAAATCTCTTCATTAGTTTGTTGAGTACTCCTACGTAATAGCATGGAGATTTCTCAATGTCTTGTCCTCTTTCTTCACAGTTCGATGCATTAAATCGGTCTTTTCATTTCTTATCTTTGTTCCTAATTCACTCCGTTGCTTACTTTATTGATATTTTCTCCCATAGATATTTTCGTAACCCAGGTGGTTTTTTTGATAAACTCCTCTGTTTATGTTACGTTCATTGTTCATCCATTCCTCTGTAGTTTGCACATTCTGATCGAAAGATCAGTAGTCTCCACATCTAAAAGCATCTATTGGTGTTTGCCATTCTCTCCCCCGACCTTTTTGATTTTATTGCTCATTAGAGCGTTCTTTTTGTTACCTCGTCCTCGTTTGCTGTAAACCCGATCATTCTTGTCACTATTTGTTCCGAAAAAAAAATGTTTGATGTTTCTTGTTTTCGAACTGTAAATCGTATCACCCTTTTTTCTTAAATCAAAGAGCCTACATGGTGTTCTGTTTTTTTTTCTACTTCCCGCGATGTTTTCATGTTTTTTTTTTGTATACCTGGTCCAGTTTTGATCCTTCTGATTTTGCTACCCAGAAGATCTTGTCTTATATTAGCATTTCAGGTTCATTCAACTCTCATCGGTAACGTTTCATCCGCTGACTAAATTCTTTCCAACCTACTTCTGACTTTTTCTTGCATCTTTTCTATTTGCGGTATGGTATGTCTGAGCCAATTTGAAGAACGGAATAAGTATGATTAATCGTCACGTATTTTTAGCAACTGTTGAATCCCTGCCGTTGAGGAGCTTTGTTGCGATCCATAGCTATTGTCCTTTCGGTCAATTCAGCGTTTGCAATTCTATTTATGATCGCATGGTGGGCCGCCTGCATGTTAGCTGGTATTAGGATATATGCACTCCACTAGATT